AGATGTCCATCAGTTGGGAATGACTAAACAAGTTATGGTGTATGATTGTGATGGAATATTATTGTGCTATAAGAAATGACAAGCAGAATGCTTTCAGTAAAACCTGAGAAGACATATATGAAATGATTCAAAATGAAGTGAGCAGAACCAGGAGAACATTTTACATAGTAACAGTAATATTGTATGATGGTCTTCTTTGAATGAGTTAGCTACTGATCCGAGACAATTCCAGAGGACTCATAATAAAAAATTCTATCCACTTCCAGAGAAGGAACTGATGGAATGTGAATGCAGACTGAAGCACTTTTTTTTTCACTTTATTTTTCTTGGGGGTTTTGTTTGTTGGTGGTGGCTGCTTGGTCTGTGTTTTCTTTTGCAACATAGCTAATATGGAAATATTTTGTATGACTACGTATATATAATATATACGAAATTCCTTGTCTTCTCAAGGAAGAGGGAAAGAAAGGAGGGAAGGAAGAATATAATAGGGAACTCAACATTTAAAAAATGAATGTTAAATTTTTTTGTTTATATGTAATTGGGAAAAAGTAAATGACAAAAAAGGTGAGATTTTAGCTAAGATTTGAGAAGACAAGGAAGGCAGGAAAGGAAGGAAAGAAGGAATGAATGAACGAGCGAATGAACAAACAAATGAAGGAAAGAGGCTTAAATGAGGAAGCAGGTCGTTCCAGGCATGGGGAACAGCCAGTAAAAATGCCCATAACCAGCAAGAGAACCCATATTCAAAAGTGTGCTCTGGGAAATCAAACATTTTTAAATGGTTTAGCAGTCAAATTATTACCCTCTCTCTCCCCCTCCCCTTTCTTTTCCATGGGTGGTTACAACACAGACCTCACCCTTACTCCAAACTGCTCAGCCTTCCACCAGAAGTGTTTAACAGCCAGCTCTCTCAAAGAATAAAGTCACATGACATCCTTTTAATTTTAACCTGTATTATTAGCATTTTCTCTATCACTTTCTTAAGCCTAGACAACCAATAAAACAATAAATCAAGCCCTGACCTGTGGCATTGGCTGACATATGAAACATAAATGCTCACCCTGAAAATTTAACAATGGATTCTTAGGAGCCTGTTGAAGCTGGTTCAGCTCCCCTCTGGCTCCCTCTCTCTCATAACCGCCATCTTCCTTTCCATCTTTTCTCAGTCCTCACTGCTGCTGATCCTTCTCTTCAATCTCATCACAACCTCCACTCCCTCAGTCCTTCCCAATTCTTCTTTTTCAAGATTCATTACTGGTCCTTCAGTCTTGACCCCCTGGGTAGCTGCTTCAGTAATACACTTTCCTTCACCACTGGCTCTGCCTCCTCCCTTTACCCTTGTGCTCTCATCCTGTTGTTCTTTATTTCTAGATAACCTCTGCTATTCAATCTTAGTGAAGTCTATAGAGAATCATTGGTATTATCTCCATCAAAGCAGTACAAAAAGTGCTAGAATGGGAGTCAGAAGACCTGAGATTGAAACCCAGTTCTTTTACCTTATACCCGTGTGACCCTCAACAAGTCCCTTGACTTCTGTAAGACTTAGTTTCCTCATCTTTTGGGGGGAAGCAGTTAAGTGACCTGCCCAGGGTCATACAGATAGTGAGTGTCTAAGGCTGGATTTGAACTCAAATCCTCCTGACTTCGGAGCCTTTGCTCTATCCATTGCGCCACCTAGCTGCCACTCCTCATTAGTAAAATGAGGGTGTTGTTCAAGATTGGGGATACCTTTGGGAATCTGGCAAAGCCTATGGACCTCTTCTCAGAGTAATGTTCTTAAAACCATTAAATAAAATACACAGACTTGCCAAAAAAACTTTATCACATTGAAATACACTTATTGAAGTATCTATCTATATCTATCCATATTTTAGATAGATAGATAGATAGATAGATAGTATGTGCATATATATATACATATATATAGTATATGTATATATGGTACATGTATATTATATATATCGTATGTGTATGTGTGTGTGTGTGTATACACACACACACACACACACACACACACACACAATGTGTGTATGTGTAAGTTCATAGATACCCAAGTTAAGAATCCCTGGACTAGATGATCTCACCCTTAGATCTTATCCACAGTCTATGATCTGACCTTCATTCTAACTTCCTCATTTGTGTTAATGTCACTAAAATCTTTAGTCACCCAGATTAAAAAGCTCAGTTATTTCTAACATTTCTGCCCCACATTTTCCTCTTTCTGTAAGATCTATTTCAGGAACAAACGCTTCCATGGATCCTCCCCTAGCATTTCCATCTAAAAGTACTCCTTCCTCCCCGAATTTCTTGTACCAAGATACTTTTACCATTCTAACTTTTATTATGGCAGAGCAAGCACGATCTCCCCAAACACACTGTCTCAGAACTAGGCTGATACGTCTTCCCCTCAGGGTTCTAGGAGTAATCCCTGAGGGGTTTGGGATGTTTCTCTCTCTAAAGCCTTCAACCTGGATCAACATTCTGGGTGTCTTCATGCAGATGTTAACACCCAGCAGGTGAATGAAAAGTCACAGTTTATTTGAAATAAGTTCTTGCTATCATTTTTGGCCAGTTCAATGGGATTACAAATATTCCTGACTATTTAGGGCTGGGACACTTCTTTTCTAAGCCAAGTTGTTAACACGTCAAAATGATGTTACCAGTATGCCTTATGTGTACACTTGTAATAACCTCAATGGAATCTTGGCCCTATCTACAGTTAACCAAGCATGTGAGGGATTCTGTACCATCAAAATTAGGCCCAAATGGGCTAAGTACTCTGATTCTTGGTCTGATTTTGGTTTTCTACCCAATAACGTGTAAATATAGACATTAGTCACGGGCCAAGGATATGTGTTACTTATATCTAGAAGGAATATTGGGATCAGAAATAGTTTCCCCCCCCCTCCAGGGTTTATTGCATAGTTACAATCAAAAAAGTAGGTGTGTGTTCTAAGTAATGAGGCCCCCCTGTGATTCCTAACCTCCCCCTCTGCACTTTTATGTGCTGGAGTGGGGAGCAAAGAAGGCAGTGCAAGAGTAAGGGAGTTCAGCTGAAGTACAAACCACACACATGTGGATTTAAGAGAAAAAAAATAGATTAAACCAAAAGAGTCCTAAAGGACAGACAGGTCTAGCTCACACCCACAAACAGCTTAAATCGGTTACTTTGGAATTGGTTTCAGTAATTACTGTTATGCCATGTGATTACCACAGTAAAGCCCCAATTACATGACACATCCTCATCCATGGTGTATTTAAAATAAAAAAAGTATAAAAATAACAGAAAGGAACAGAGAGATCTACAAAAGCCACCAAGGTCAGAGACAAGGCTGCTGGTCAATCTCAGGATTCACGATGCCAGTTCCTACTTGGTTGTTTATTTCTAGAAAACTCACTTTGGCCAAGGGACCATTACAGAATAGTCAAGTCCAGTTATTTACAAAGACATCACTCCCATTTCCAGGAATGTCACTCCTAACAGAGCTTCAGGGAAACTACTGCTCTCTGATCTTTAAGGGTACAAGGTATCACTAGTGTTAAGCAGGTCACATGTTCAATAGTTGACTTTCCAATTCAGTTGAGTCATGAACTTTTATTTTTGTGAGTGTCCTTATAACTAATGGGTAAAAGTTCTATCTTTCCTTAGGCTTTTATTCCTACGTTAGATAGGTTTTAAAGCAATAACTCCCCCCTCTCCATGTTTTACTACAAAAAGGGCATGAATGATAAAACCCAAGGTCTCTAAGCAAATTTACATTTTTAAAATAAGTGCTCTCTATCAACAAGTTAGCAAGCATTTTTAAGCATTTACTGTGTGCCAAGCACTATCCTAAATGTATGGGAGGAAAAAACAGTCTCTGTCCTCAAGAAGCTATTGTTAAGGGAGGAAGATGACATGAAAGGGAGCTGAAAATCAAAGGGCAGAGGAAGGAAGAGGATAAAGTTATCGCCATAAAGAAGGAGTCTAGAGAATCAGGAATGGAATCCAAAAAAGGAGTGAAGGAATGAGCGTCACTAGCATTTCTTCCAAACCAAGACTCTGAAAGGAATTTACCGATCAGAGGGGGAGCTGCAGGGTGGAGGAACTTTACAGGGTGAGAATGCAGTGGAGAAGTCTGAAGAGGCAGGGGAATAATTAGGAATAAATTCATGAGTTTGCTTGGGGTGGTCAGTTCCTCAAAATGCAGGCTGTGGGACGAATTCATAAATGGGAAGGTAATGCCATAGGAGCAGAGGGATCTTTTCTGAGCAAAAGGAGAATGGTGGCATGGCTAAACCTACCTGCATCGGGCCAGATTTCATAAGAAATTCATCTAATGGCCATAGATTTAGATGAAGAAGGGACCTCATCTAATCCAACCCCCGCCCCTTGCTTTTATTTTTAATCTTTGGTTGAGACCGGTGATTTCATTAGAGACGGGAACTTAGCATGGCAGCTCCACCCCACTTCCTCCTCCCCTCTCCTTCTCCCCCCACCGACAAGGATCCACAACTCCTCCATAGCTTAGAGCAAAACTTCTTAAACTGTAGGTCATGAAGCTGCATGTGAGGGTCGGGAAAAATGTGGCAACAGTAAAAGGTTTCTGAATGCACAACAACCAAAAATTAATTCAAAACAGAATGCATAATGCATCTGAAGTGTTTCTGGCAGCGCTTGCCTGGGTTGCATCATGCAGCTTCACTGCAGCCTTGTTTCTGAACACACATGTGCCTTTTGCACTGCACATGCCATCATACAATGCAATGCCAATGAGCGCTGCCAGGAACACCTCGTCCCAGATCCGAGACTGTTGTATTTTATGAATTGCAGTGTTTTTACTGTACATACAAAGTCTTCTGCTCTTACAGAAACATAGTAGTTTAATTACAGAAAAATAAAGACAATATTTTCCTACCATCATTCCTCAGCATCAAAGTATCAAATTAGTATATCTTTCTATTGTACTGTGTTAGAATGTTTGATTTTTAAAATTGCTGTTATCTCTTTCTTTTTACAGAAACATGTTTAATTGCAGCAAGTAAAGACAAAGTCTTTTAATAATATTTCTCTACCATCATCTCTGTGTTATATGTAAGTGTGAACAACAATTTTTAAAATTAAGCACAAACTAATGTAATTTCATATATTAAAGCTAGTATTAATTTGAGAAATTATTAGCAATATTTATTTATATTTTAGGACAAAAATATTTTTCAGTTATGGATAGGTGACTAAATTTAGACAGAAGAGGTAAAAATATTGATGACAATGTGGCAGAGTCTTCACTACCAGGTTGTACTACACCTAAATTGACATGAAAAAGAAAATATATCAAATCACTTTCGTAATACAGATTTGCTTCTAATAATGATGATGCTCTTTGCTTAATTTGCAACAAAGTTTTGGCTGTGCAGAGCATGAAATCAGCCAAACTAAAATGACATCTTAATACCAAGCATGCAGTGTACTGCAATAAACCAAAGGAACATTTTGAACAGCTTTTAAAATCTTCAAATAAAGAAAAACTGTTTTGAGAGATTTGTTACTGTCAATGGAGAGTATTGAACTGCATCTTACAAAACTTCTTATTTAATTGCAAAAACTAAAAACCCCTATGAGGGAGAAGATCTCATGTTCCCTGCTGCTGTTAAAATGTCAGAAATAACTCATGGGAAAAAGTATGGGGGATGAAATTTATAAAATTCCTTTATCAAAAGATACTGTTTTCAAAAGAATTGCTGAAATTGGCAACGACCAATCCCAGCAGCTTGTTACCAGGCTTAAGGGCAGCCCAAAGTTTGCAATTAAGTTAGATGAAACAACTGATATTCCTAACAGGGCCCAGTTGTTATTTTATATAAGACATGTTTATGAAGGAAGTATACATGAGGGATTATTGTTTTGTCACTCCTCACAAGAGGGGAAGATAGATATAGTCATAGATATAGACATAGATATAGATGTAGATATAGATATAGATATAGACATAGACATAGACATAGACATAGGTATAGGTATAGGTATAGATATAGGTATAGATATAGATATAGATATAGATATAGATATAGATATAGATATAGGTATAGGTATAGGTATAGGTATAGGTATAGGTATAGGTATATATAGATATAGATATAGATATAGATATAGATATAGATATAGATATAGATATAGATATAGATATAGATATAGATATAGATATAGATATAGATAGATAGATATAGATAGACATATACATATATATATATATATATATATATCTTAAAGTCAATGAATTTTTCACAAATGAAGGTTTACAATGGAAAAAATTGCACTGGAGTCTGTACTGACTGGAGCAATGATGTGTGAGAATGTTGAATTTGTAGCAAAAGTTAAAGCTGGTAATAATGAACATATCACTTTCACTCACTGCATGATCCATCAGGAAGAACTCACAGTCCAAAAAACATCACCAAAGTTAGATATGCTTCGTGATAGTATCCAAATCACTAACTTCATTAAAAACCATGTCATTAATAGTCATTTGTTTTCAAACCTTTGGAAAGACACGGACTCCGGTTGCAAAGGCTTATTACAATATGCAGAAGTAAGGTGGCTTTCAAGAGGGCAGTGTTTAAACAGATTATTGAAATTGAAAAATGAAGTTATATTTTGACTGAACAGAGATCTGATTTTATTAATTTTTTCCATAGTGACTTATGGCTTCTAAAACTGTGTTATTTGTTGGATATTTTTGAAAAACTCAATGATTTAAATATGTTGCTTCAAGGAAAAAAAATATAACATCTTTATGTTAAAATATAAAATTTAAGTTTTACTAAAAAAAGTTATCATATGGAATAATAGAGTGGAAAATGGTTCTTTAGAAATGTTTACAGCTACAGAAGATTTTATAATTGAAAATAACTTTCCCAAAGATTTAATTGTAAGGGTAATAATTGATCATCTGAAGTGCTTGGAGACACAGTTTCAGAAATACTTCCCTTCAAATTTTTATCCTAAAAAGCTAAGTTGGATTCATAAACCATATCCAATTGAAATTTTTAAAAAATCAGTCATCTGTCATTAAAAGTTCAAGAAGAATTTGCTAAGTTATCAAGTGACACAGGTTTAAAACTTGAGTTTCCCAAAGAATCATTAAATGAATTTTGGCTTGGGATTAGGACAGAATTTCCAACAATTTCTGAAATGGCTCTAAATATACATCTACCGTGTTGTACTACATATTTGTGCAAAGTGGCATTCTCAGCATTGACAACTATAAAATCAAAATATTGATCAACTCTGAAAAATGTTGAAGATATTCTATATCCTGAAATATCAAATATTCCACCAGGATTTAACTCTTTATGTAAAAATAAATAAGCACATCCATCTCATTAGCATGTAAATTTGCTTTTGTATTTAATAAATGGTAAAATTATATGTGCACCAAAGAATTGTTTTAAAATACATTTCTTTATGATTTATTGTCAGCAAATGTTTGATCTGTATACCTATTTCATATACTTATATACCCGGGGTCATGTAAAAATTTCTCGGGTGAAAAGGGGTCATGAGTGAAAAAAGTTAAGAAGCCCTGGTCTAATACATCACTGTTCTCAGAGATCTCTCTAGCAAGATTTCTCAGGTTCCTATGCTTAACTTCTGTGGAAACAGAAGTGAATACATAATATACCACTGAGGCAAACTATACTTTAACCCCTGATTTTGAGAGTTATGCCTCTGACACATATTGGCCCTTACCCTGAGCAAGCTATATAAATTCTTAGTGCCCCCAAGCAACTCTCTAGGCTAGATATAAATTGTGGAAGAGGAGTTGATCTGTATTTATAGGCTTATTTTCTCGAGAAATTATCTAAATCAATAAAGTCACAAGTCTAGATTTAAAAGCAACAACATTACTCTTCATTCATCAATTTACCAATCTGAAATTGACATCCATCATCTGTAGCCAGGAAGTCTGACATTTTAGGATCCTGTTTCTGGGCAATAAGTTTAACAGGAATTGTGCTGGACACATCCACACCTCATTTTGACTTCTCTTTCTTTATGGATTAGAAATATTCCTAGAAATTTGTGGGTGAATCATGTCTTTGTATATTTAATAAAATTTTCCTATTGACTTTCGCAATATTTTTAGAGCTATATTACAGTGGAAAAGTGTCCCTGACTTACAATAAAAGTCATACTATTATATCTTGACAGTTTAAAGCATTTTTTCTGCCTCAGTCAATGTGCTCTCCAGGTACATTTAACTCTCCCCTGCAACCTTATGAGAGAAAAAAAAATATTCAAATGGGCAAATAACTCATAAGATATTTAGTACCCTAATTAATTAAATTAAAAGCATATACAGCATATAATATCTAGTTAATGTATATTTCCTTGCAAGTCCAGATTGAATCCGGGGGACATCACATATTCCAGTTCATACCAGAATCCACTAGCTAAAAGAGTCATCAGAAATGATTTTCCCAGCAGAACTCAGAAACTGATTTTCAGTCTAAGAAGAAAAGAAAAAGCTGATATCTCTGTTTGCAAACACTCCCTTATAAATTTGGGAGAACAGAAATTATATAGTTCATAAAAATGGTCTATGAAGCCATGAGATTTCAAGAATCATTCTTTCATAAGGGATGACACATAAGTAGAAGATACCATACTGCAACACTAACATACATCACAAATCAAGAAAGATATTCACTTGAGGTGGTCTTAGGCTTCTGTGACATTTAGTAAATTCATATAATACTCCATCAAGATAAAATGAATGCCGAAGAAAACCCAAACACTTTCTTGTTTTGTAAAAAGTGCTTAGCAATTCTAAGGTATTATTTTACACTCATCTGCTGTTGTCTATTCACTGTAACTAATTGGTCTGCATTTGGTGTTATCAGTTTTTAATTTCATAAGTAAATGAACAGTATAATATGGAGGCCTCCCTCCCCTTATGGAAAGGCATTCTTTGTTTGGTTATGGCTAACTGCACAGAACTGAGGTCCTTCATCATTTGCACATGTACAATATTAATAAAAAAAAATACCAATGCATTTCATGCTTCTGACTTCTTCTAGCAAGAGTCTGGCTTTTTCCTTCTATATCTAAGGCCTGATTCATTCACTGTGAGATCATTTCTATTTGGGTGCATGCACTCTAGAATATGGGGATGATACAATACAATGAGTCTTCTGTTGGGAGCCTTTCATAAGCATGAAGGAATTCATACAATATGAACTGGGAAATGAGCTCACATAGAATATCTATTAGGGTGAACTGAAGTATTTGGAAATTGGCATGCCTTGATGTCAATGAAATACCATTCTCTGCTTTCACTTCTTCATATCTAAAGGGCACAGGATTTAACGGTATGTTTATGGATATCTAAAAGGAGCTAATATTACAGTTCTAAATTTTCTAGGTGTTTCTTGATAGAAACATAATATCCAAATTTATGACTTAAATTTAGAGACCACTGAGAAGAATTAGGTAGAGTTGGTGCTATCTTTAATTCCTTTTGCGTCATTGAATGCCTTATTTTGTTGATTATGTCTATAATGTCAAAACTTCAGGATGAAAAGTGGATGATTCAGTAAACCCTCTGGATGTTTTGTTTTCCTGATGCCCTAACACCAGCTCCATGATACAATGTTCCATTCTGGATCCCTAGGCAAAGTTTTGCCCATAGGTTTCCCAATGACCAATGTTTCCAGTTTATTTAGCATGTAACTAACTTCTTTCAATAGGCCACAAAGTTGCTTATATGGTATGTGTTCCTAGATAGTAGATATGGGGAAAAGCCCTGGCTGCGGGCCTGAGGAGCTTGGGTTCAAATCTCATGATGCTTATTAACTGTATGACCTTGGGCAAGTCACTAACCTGCTTGGACAGCGGTTTCCTCTAGACCGATGGTCCCGTCTGTCATCCTATTACTCGGATGAGGAGCTGCATTATCCTTTTTCTTCCAATCATTCGGCATAATGCCACTCTCATGTTTAATCTTACTACTATCCCACTACCCAGTTCTGGATTCCATTCTTCTTTCTTTCCCTCAATCTGTCTTTCTTTTGGAACCGTGGATGGAACAGGGGAAGGAGAGAAGCTTTAAAATCCAAGGCTACCCATTGTCTTTTAAACAGATTTCTTAACTCAGCCTATGAGTCACCTGATTTAGCATCTCCTTAGCGTTGTTATGGTTTCAGCCATTTCATCCCCGTCATTGAGTTGCAGGTCACAACCTTCAATGTTCAGAGGTTATCATATAATGCATTCTCTCGATGCGATGTGCTCTAAAACAATCACACTAAAGACAATCCTTGTAGGATAGCAGCGGGGGGGGAAGAAGGAAAATCTATGAATGCTTCTTTTCTTCAACAAACATCCTGAATAGAATCTACTGTGCAAAATACCTATTTTAAACAGTCTCATTGTCCTTGAGTAAAAATTAACTCCTTTTTTGAAATATTAATTCCCATAGTTTTAAGAAGAAATAGTTCTGGCACCACAAAACCTTTATTCTATCTTTAAGACTTTTCATAACACTTTTATCAGAAAATATTTGTAAGATTTGGAGCTACTAAAAAGAAATCTAATTATTAGGAAAATAATGAGTTGACAATGCATTCCCATCATCCAGGATAGATTGAAAATTCAATAATTCATAAGATTTATTATGTCCTCATTGTGAATATTCCCTCCAACATTAGACATCACAAAGCTGGGTGAGCCACTTCTCTTAGCCTCCTCCATGTCTCTATAGATGGCCCCATGAGATGCCATGTGCAAAGAAAACTTTTCAACTGGATAAAATCTAAAGTGCTTTATAAATCTTAAAGTACCTTTTAAATGTTAATTATTATTATTATTATTATTATTTTTATCATCATCATCATCATCATAAATTGGAGTATCTTTCCAATAATATCCATCTCTACAACTGGCTAGTTTGGTTTTGAGACAACAAAGACAAGTTCATTTCTTGGCCAAGATTCCAAGGCTATCAAGCTTAATTGGACATGCAAGACCTTCCACTATATTAGTAGAGCCCTTTGAAAACAGAAGGTCACGGTTATACCATGATGACATATCAGAAGAACGCTTTCATGCAGGACACCATAAGAATGAGTGTGATTTCACTCTAACGTGAACTAGTGGGTCTTGTCTTGTTACTACAGCACATTTTGATGTTCAAACTTTTGTTTTTCTCCAGATGCTCCTTTTAATCCAAATAAAAATATTTATTTCCAACTTTTTACTTTTTTGTGACCATGTGCAAGTACTTTGGGCAAGTTTCTCTGGGCCTCAGCTTCCACACTCATAAAAAGAAACACTGGACTCATTGGCTCCGATATCTCTTCAAGCTTTCGACCTATGATCCCAAGATTACTGAATCCTATTTATTATTGTTTTAAAGTGATTTTTTATATTTTAAAATATTAGGCCAAATTTTGAAAGGCCAAGTCTCCAAGCCTGTACTTCTAATTTAAGAACACTGGCTCCCCATTAGATGAATAGGCAAATGCTATAAACCAATAGTTTTCAGAAAAAGAAATGAGCATTTTTAACTGAAAGCAGTGTGGTAAAGTAGGGAGAGCATTTGCTTGGGAGTCAGAGGTTCACTTATAGTCGTGTCAGTCATGTCCAATTGACCGTGACCCAAGTTGAGGTTTTCTTTGCAGAGATATTGGAGTGGTTTGCCATTTCCTTCTCCAGCTCATGTTACAGATGAGGAAACTGAGGCAAATAGGGTTAAGTTATTTGCCCAGAGTCACACAACTAGTGAGTGTCTGAGGCCAGATTTCAATTCAGGAAGATGAATCTTCCTGACTCCAGTCCCAACATTCTATCCACTGCCCCTGTCAAAGGACCTATGTTCAAATTCATTCTCTAACACAGAATACCTATGTGACTTTGGACAATCATTTAACCTCCTCAAGCTTCTAATTCTCCATCTGTATGAAGAGTCTGAAAAAGATGGCCTCAAGAATATCTATAGTTTTAACCCTATGATCCCATGATCGTATGTTTGAAATGTTTCAAATTATGAATAATAAAAAAAATGCTGCTTTTTTAAAAAAAATCTCAATTTTTATATGATACCCAGAAAACTTACAAAAGTGATAAAACATGGAAAAAGAACATTGGAGGAGCTTTATAAATCTAAACACACACATACATGCTGTTGATAGAGCTGTTAATTGGTCTAACTATTCTAGAAAGTAACCTGGAGTTATTCCAGAAGTCTCTAAACTCTTTGACCAAGTAATCACACTCTTGGATATACCCCAAAGACATCAAAACAGAAAGAAATGTCCCACGCATCGCAATATGATTATCACAGTACTTTTTGTGAAAACAACAACAAATAACTGGAAATTGGGGACAGCTGCACAAATTGTAATGCAAGTAAGTAATGAAATACTGTTGCACTCTAAGAAATTACAGAGATGAGGGAGTCAGAAAAATCTGGGAAGGCTTGTGTGAAGTGATGCAGAGCACAGAGAGCAGAGGCAGGAGAAAAATATCCACAATCACCGCAACAATGTTAATGAAAACAACCCTATAAAGTAAACAAGCCCAGATTCGTTATAATGACCAATAGTAGGCCCAAAGAAAAGATAATGGAACAGATTTATCTCTTCTCAAAAGAAAGGCGAGGGGCTATGGGTGAGGAATGTTACAGATATTGTCAGATATGACTTTTTTTCAAAGAAAGGTTTGATGTGATGGGTAAAGGAGAAATAAAAACAAAAAGATATTTTTAAAATAAAGAAAGAAAAAAAAAAAAATTGGTTTTTGCTTTCAGTCATGTCCAATTCTCCATAACCAGTTTTGGGATTTTCTTTGCAGAGATATTGGAGTGGTTTGCCATTTCCTTCTCCAGCCCATTTTACAGATGAGGAAACTGAAACAAACAGGGCTGAGTGACTTGCTCAGGGTCATACAGCTAGTAAGTTTCTGAGGCTAAATATGAACTCAGGTCTTCCTGACTCCAGGCCAGTGCTCTAGTTCACTGCCCCACCTAGCTACCCCCAAACTCAGCAAACCTGAGTTCTGGTTATGACTGCACTTCTGACCATGTGACCTGGGACAAATTATTTTACTTCTCTGACCTCAAGTTTTCTCCTAGTAAATAAGAGGAAAGCGCTGGACTATATGTCTGAGACTTCTTCCCTTTTAAAAATTGTGTAGCTTCACAGAACACCTTCTTTCAATGAGAGGAAGTGATATCAGGTGAAGCCTATGACTTTCAATTCTCAGCAAAAAAGGGATAATGTGGGGCAGCTAGGTGGCATAGTAGATAGAGCACCAGCCCTGGAGTCAGGAAGACCCGAGTTCAAATCTGTCATCAAACCAAACATCACTTGTCACTTACTAGCTGTGTGACCCTGGGCAAATCACTTAACCCCAACTGCCAAAAAATAAAAGGAAGAACGTTCCACTGACCTCGAGGATTAGAACTATACATTTGTTAATTCAGAGTTCAAAATTATTCTCTCTCTCATTC